TCCTTTCTCTTGTTGCTTGGGTTCACAACTGAGCTGAGATGCATCAAAGTCAGGTCAAGGAATCAGAAATAAGGGAACGATAGAAGCTTTGGTAGCAGAAGTCAATTTCTTTAAGCTGCCTTTTTTTTTTCCTTTTCTTTTTTCCTTTGTTCCAGGTGTCTGTTCCTTTACTGAATAGAGCAGAGAAAGAGACGAAGGAAACAAAACGTGAGGATTGGAATTATATGCCTAAATTACATACCCAAGCAGATGCTGTATTGATTTCAGTAATTGCACTGACACATTCTTCTATATTCCTAACGCTGTTTTAACACTTCCTGCCAAAAATTGTAAATAGTAAGTCAGATAGCTGAGCTTCTTTAAGCAGATGCAGTCAAATACAAAGCCGTCATTTTTGTATTCCCTTCTGTGATCATCTGGCAGTGTCCTTTCCTTTCTTCAAGGCTTCTATGACATTGGGCTTTCATAATTGTTGCATCTCTTTTTAAATTAGAGTGGGAGGGGAGATTCTCCTGGGCTCGTTTTTGGCCCAGGAGTAGCCTTTTATCATGAGTTTGTGCCAAGTGCAATGGAAGAGGACTCTTCTCCGCTGTGTTCCATCAGTGCAACATTAATTTATGTAGGAAATCTGTATTTCCTGGCGATCAATTGCCTGTGTGCAATTTATTTTCAGGGTTCACCCAAAGGATGAGATGCTGCAGGCAAACTCAGTGCAGGAGTGAGGTGGCAGGAGTGCCTCACGTGTCCTGTCCCTGGTGCATCTTGTCAAACCCAGTCCCTGTCGGCATCGGGAATGCACGGCACTGCTCCCAGTGCCTTCCACTTGTTTGAGCTTTGCATAAAACCCTGCATGCTGCATAATAAAGCACCTGCCCTCACACATACAGTTCACTTTTCCGAATGACCTGAAGCACCATGTGGGGCTTTGAATGTGTGAAGCAGGCTGCTGGCTGCTAGAGGGACCTGGATGTTCACTGCTGGCTGTCCTGCATCACCATGGGGTACAAGACAGGCACGTGCATGCATGCACACATGCACCAAAGGGAATGATTATGATAAACTACTGCCTAGAAGGCATCTCTATAATGCAGAAATAGCAAAGATTTTTACCAGGTGAAATCAATTCTCTGTGCTTGTGTCTTATTCATGGCTCTTCTTATGCTTTTTTTTCTGCAGAAAGAGTATAATGAAATTATTAGCAACAAAGCACTGGGTTTTACAGAAAACAGAATTAAATCTAGCCTAGTGCTAATGCTCTTCAGTATTTTGCATCTTATACTTTCTTCTTTTCCTGCCCAGAAAACAGATTTCTGGCATGAGAACTAAATATCCTCCTGAGAAGAGAGGTGCAAAGGAAGTGCACAGGCTTTGCCGTTTCCTCAGAGATTGGGGGCATTTTTGTCAACTTMCACTAGTCTCTTATTTATAAATCTACTTTTGATGTGTGGAGGAAGGCATAGTCCAAACCTGTGACTTGCAGAACGTAGATGTTTAACTTGGAAAGCCAAAAAAGCTGTTCAGCAGCTCTATTCAGAGATATTTCCTTAGGGAAAAAAAGGGATCTCAGTCAATATAAGGAGAATGGTAGAGCTAATCTGAGTGGTTTGRAATTGATTGTGTGATCACCAGCACTAATTTTGAGGGTCAGTCAGAGATGAGGTTGACACAAGATGAGTGGCACAGAATGGTGCCAAACCAGAATACACTGATATCTCCCCAAAGGTGGGGAATCTTGATGTGCTATAGGTACAAAGCCAAAAGTCTCTGAGCCCTTGAAAATCATTCTATTCATTTCCAAGTGTTTTTAAAAGCCTTTAAGTGCATGAAAGGGACTTCTGACATTATGAAGTTTCTGTGGATCACAAAACTTGCAGTTTGGTTAGATCAATAGCCTTATTTATATTTATTTATTAAGCAAAGGATCAGTCAGGCTGCTGTTGTTTTCTTAACAACCTTTTTAAAATTTTTTCTTTTTAAATTTTTACTACTGAAGTCTCTACTGGAAATTATAGTCCACTGACCCATAAAACTAAAATTGATTATGCACATAAAAAATTCTGGGAATGAATGAATGAATGAATGAATGAATGAATGAATGAATGAATGAATGAATGAAAGAAAGAAAGAAATTCAAGTGACAACAAAACATTTGCCCAATTTGAACTCACCTGCCTTTGATCATTAAAAAAATAAATAAATAAAAGCACCTCTCTTTTCCCTTGATGAGAGAAGGAATCATTTTTTCCTTTGTTCAGTCTACATCAGAGCATGGTTAGAAATGTCAAAAAAGATGAATTTTGATCTCCAAAACTTTCGGCAGGAGCATTCTCTATTCTATCTACTTTTATCAATTTCGCATGGTTTTTGGAGAATAATGGTAAGCTAAGGCAAAAGAACCCAAACTAAAAAGGTTTTATTTTTAAATAATCACAAGGAATATAAGGTATTCTACATCACATATTACATTTACAGCAATCCTAGACATGTTTTTTTACCATTTACTTCTAAAATATGRATGGAAATCTCCTTTTTAAGGGGTTGTGAGGAATTGTAGTCAATTTTTTTTCTACTTAGGCTTATGGAAAGAAACATTAAAATGCTATTTCAATGTTTTGAAACTTGAATAACTTAATCCTTGAGCTTGTTTTTAATATTCTGAGATGAAATAATGACACTATAAGCATATAAGCCTTCACTTCTCTGTGAAGAAGCTTGAAAAACAAGCAAGTGCATTACATGTTTCAAGCATGTAATTAAATTGATTCCCTTGGTCTATCCAGGTGTTTAATGGTAAGTATATGCCTGTGTACTTCTCTGAAATGTTGGATGGTGCTTAGCAGAATGAATTATATTCCAGTAACTCACATTTCTTTAAGAACCCATATAACAGAGGAAATGGTACCCAAAAAAAGCTTTCATTTTCCTGATGAACAAAGTAACTTCTGGTGAACCCTGTCTTTTTATTGCTGAAGCCAGCTGTAGCTCATGACTTGAAAGCAAAGCCATCTCCTTCTTAAATATGCTTTTTGAAAAATAGTGCTTTATTTTCTCTGGAGCTGTTGAGACAATTTCCTGACTAGATCTGCTATCCCATTAATTTTAGARTATAAGAAAACATCACTCTGAGCCATAGGGAACAATTTTGGATTTACTGTACATGCATATATCTCAATAGATTTACCTTCAGTATTGTCATAGAGCATACTTAAACTCATATTGTCCCTATTTTAGAATGAATGTTCTTCTTTCCTCCTATTTGTGCAAAAGCATAGGCTTATGCTACATATAAATGGTAGTTTATTTTACTGTGTACAATTTGAATTTTGAATATGATTGAAGTAACAGGAAGAGTTTTTTCAAATGGGTCTCAGAAAGTCCTTGCCAAAAACATGTAAAACTTTCCTATAGAGAAAGAAATTTAGTGCACAGTTTTAGCATAATAGCAGGAGTAGAGACATYGCCTTGCACTATGTTTTTATGGGATGATATTTTAAAAGGTGTTCAGAGATTTATGAGTTTTTAGGAACAGCTAAAATTGTTTTTGTACTTCTAATATTGCTTTCATTAGAATGTCGAAAGTATGTTTACAAGATCAGATTGAATTCTAAGATGTTACCAAATCATCCAGAATCCCCACTGTATAACTGTATTCTTTCATATTCCTATATATCTTCAGAAGAAAAAAAATGGGAGGAATATAACTGCTTTGTTTTAAAGAGTATAATCTGTATTCTGTCATGTACTTCATCTCCCAGGGAAAGTATCTGGGAACTCACTCTGCTGTTTTTATTTATCCTGCCAGTGTAGTATATAGATGAGAAGACTAAGGTTCAATGGTGTTAAAACAAGACATGAAATATTGATTAATTCTTTTTTTAAATTCCTTTTTACTCCTGAGTATAGCAAATTTCAGACGCTACTGTCAATACAGCGCTCTCCAATAAACTTCCATTATCGGAAGGGTCCTGATCTTCATAGTGTTCTTATAAATGGTTATTATGATTCTAAATGGTTAGCTTTACAAGCTCAAGRCTAGCATTCTGCTGCTGCAAGAGGAGAAAGCAAGCTAGAAGCAATTCAGCTTTTTAACATGGCACAATGTTCCTCTGAAATATCATCAGCTGGATTGGGAATTCTCTTTGCTAGATAGCAGGCAAAATACTCTTTGAAGGAATGGAAATCTTAAAGAGATAAAGAAATATAGAGTGTCACATCTAAGAACATTTCTGCTAAAGAGGGACAATATAGTTGGTGTCCACCTTGCCTTTTGTTCCAACGGCTCATTCTTCAGCACTAAGTTGAAAGTTGAACTCCATTTCTAGCTGCCAGAATGGTCCTTTAATCTGCAAAGGCAGGTCAGTGGGTACTTAGGAGTTTCCCCAGGRTAAAAACTTTCCAGGAAAGGTAGCCATGCAAGTCCACATCGTCTAATGCCTAAGGGAAGCTCATGGATATGGACAAGGAAGARAAGATGTAGCTCAAGTTCTTTTTAGTGTTCTTTTGTATAGAAAAACTCTCTGGAGAATGAGAATTTGTGACAAACCAAATTTTCACTAAAAAAAAGTTTCAATTAGAAAATTCACTGAAAATTCAGCTTTTGCTCATAAGAGAGGATGGTGCCCTGCACACAGCTCATACACTGCTTAAAGTTTAATTTCTGATTAGTTTTATTTCTTGATAAGTTTCTGAATTTCTCATTTTACACACTCTACTAATGTCTATTTTTCAAATGTACAAATAATTTTCTGTTTTAAGGGACATGCGTTGTTTGACTTCAGCTATTTCACATGCTGTATTTTCTGTGGACAATTGCTTGAGGCCTCAAGCTGGCAAAAATGAGAGCCTATCTATGAATAATTCAAAGTAATTGTACGCTTTTGACAGATTGTCAAGCTGCTTAATGTCTCTTGTCCCAGGTAATAGATTATATTTCTTTGATAAAGTGTTGGTAATTTCTCATTGCAATTTGTTTTGTGTATGTTGTATTTTACAGAGTCCAGTCAGGCTCATATCTCAGTACGGGCTGGTTTACCTTAATTTTGGCTATGGATGCCTGCTATGGAATTCACGTCTATGGGATGATAAATGACACCTACTGCAAGTAAGATCACAGGAAATTATTTTCATGCATCTGCAATTCTGATGTCTTGTCAGAATTTCACAATTGATTTTAATACCATAAATCCAAGAAATGGATCAAGCAGCCACTTCCCAATGTTTTGAGTTGATGAGACACTGTATTGTCAGCATATTTAGCCCTGATACAGCATTTTATCTTGATAAAATAAAAACATTTACCAAATCTATGAGATGTCATAAGAAACTATTTTTAATCAAAGATCTTTTGCAGGTTCTGAGTTGGCTAGAAATGAATATATTCATACCCTTTTGGCAAAATGTACTTGCTTTTATAGCTAAAACAAATCTATAGAGGAAATACTAATATATTAGTTCTCTGAATGCCAAGTACACTTGGAAGTGAAAGGAAGTGATTAGTTACCTGAATAGTTACCTGAAATTACATTTCACCACCATTGAGCACTCTACCTGAACTTCCTGGGAAATATACGGCTTGTTTTGAGTAGTAGGGGGTTTCTAATTAGATAATAAAACAAGACCTGCAAGCTTTATCAGAGTAAACTGACATAAATTCCAGCCAACTACTGTTAGTGACCTTACAGTGACACTGGATTAATCCCATTGTCAGAAGCATAACTCTAAACACAATTTTTAAAAGACCGAGTTAAACACTTTAATCTACAGTATAAAGAAGCAAACTATAAAACAAGCAGATTCCTCAGTCACCAAAGCAGGGAATGTCATAAACAAAATGCAATAGCCCTGCAAGTCTGTTCTACTGTACCCAGACTGGTTGAAGCCTTGCATGTAAGCCATGAGAGGATTCCTCAGCTCTCAGAGTAAAGTCTGATGGATCCCCTGCTTCAAAGTTCTGTATCATCCCGGTGTGGGATTCATTCCTGGCAYTGAAGAAAGGAACTTAAGTCAGATTTTTAAGCACAGCTGTTTAATTAGGGTATCTTAACATGAAAGACTGACTTTTTAGAGCTTGTAGATCCCACAGAATGGGTGAATCATGCAGATGGAACGAACATATGTTGCTTTTTGTTTACGAAAACACCATAGGCATCCTGAGACGAGGGGTGACAGGGCTGACGCTGTCCTTGCAGGGTTCAACACAGCTGCCATTACATAGCCCTGATGTAAAACCAGTTAGGGTCGTCATTGCACTTCAGTCTGTTGACAGCAGAAAAGGATGGCCCTGCTGGTCTGCTTAAAGCTGCAATCCTGACTGCATAACCTCTTCGTAATGTATATTATTCTTATAACTGCCCTATTCAGCAAGTCCAAGAAACAGTTTCAAGAGTTAGGACTATTCAATGAGTCGACATTGTGCRGAGATGGAGCATTATGGACTAGAGGCTGTTCCAGGTTATCCAAAMTATACCTATAGGTATACAGTATAGATAAGAAGCTGCCCTTAGCTTCTTGCTGAAGCATGAGATCACTGGATGTCAAGAGGCACACTTAGATGCATTTTCTGTAGGAAAATGAAAATAAATCTTCCTATAATGAAAGCCATTTGGCAAAGGAACTCAGGTGCCAACACATGAAAAGCATTTCAGTGAAATCAGATGCAGTGTATGTTAACCTTTTTCTTAGAAATAATACTTAAGAGTAACTTTTTTTTTTTTTTCTCCCAGGTCTGAAGGATTTCGAAAAGTTCCCTACCATTATTATGAGCCAGGAAGAGATGAGTGTGAGGAGTACTTTCTGCATGAAAACGCTCCATATGGAGGCCATAGATTTATCACAGAAAAGAAAGTATTTGCTAAATGGGCCAAGAAGCACACAATAATATTTACGCACCCCAACTGGACAGTGTCTTGATGCTGGTTTTCTTAACTCCCTCTCAACAGGATAATATTACAAAAATGTCTCAGTTTACAATAATTTTGCTTACATCTGACTGGACTTTCTCAGCCTAGGTAACCCTAAACTAAAATCTAGAAGACAAAGAGGGTGATGGTTCAGCTATTAAGCAAAATTAATCAATCTGTGGAAGCAAGACATGTTGCTTGTTATTTCTTAGGGTTTTACTCTACATAATGCACTTTATACTGTAACTGGATATTACTGCAAGACAAGAGGAGTTAAAGACCACTGCAATTTCCAGTATATGCAGGTGAACATGCACACACAGAGAACATGGCAGTCCTTTAAAACTTGTCCATTGCCTTAGTTAATTAAAATTAGCATGTGCAGTACTGATAGTACTGCAGTACTACTTAGATTTGCAATATTGGCAGAAATTTTCCATAAAGGAAATATGAGGAAATATACAGACCTCCTAGGTCTACTTGTCTTGTCCATGAGTGAGTATATTTGAAGAATCATCTAAAGTTATGGATACCTGTGAGCATGTACATATAGGGTAAAATTATAAATGGGCTGAACATGGTTCCTGAATTGTACACAACAGATGGATATGAAAAGCTATGTTTTGGTCAAGGCTCTTGGTTTGTACTCAAGCTTATATAATGCAGCTTCCTTTCCAGCTGGTCAGGCTGCACTGCAGTGGATAACGTGTTTTGCTTTTTTTGAGGCTGTTGTACCACAGGGARGCTGCAGCAGCATGGCACATAGCAGCAACTGTGTTTTGCAGCCCAAATTACACTTTTGATTATTACAACTAAACTACTACCACTACCCAAAGTGTAAAGTAGTGTAAAGCTCTCTCATGAACATTTCCATTCACTGCAACCATGACTTTGATTTGCTTAGAGCTCCAACATCCAAGCTCTAAAACTTGCCATTTTTGACAGTATTTCCCTTGCAAACATCATACTTTATTTTACCTCTCCAAGTTTTTCTATCTTTAAAAACAGGGATAGTATCTACCTACCTCACAATGGAGATGTGAGGATTAATTGAAGTCCATAAGGCACTTTGCTGACGAAAAAAAATTCTACAGAGCATTTATTCTTAACGCAAAAGTAATGGTACTTGTCATATACATGTCTTATCTGTTGGGTATTTGAAGAAAGTGATGGCATGTCTGGATCTGACGGTAGATTATTTGCGTGTCCTCTTTCCTACTGAGGATWATGTGTAATATTGAGTTCTCTCAGATTGTACCACGTCAGGTGGAGTCAAAAGACTGCACCGCTTCAGGTGGAGGTGAAAGAACTCACCATCCCACAGCCTCATCTGCACCTCGAGAGGAGGGTCAAGAATTTTAAAGTATGCTTGTCTCTAGTTAAAAAAAAATAGTTCCAAGCTTCCTCTCATCAAAGATTTTCAGCTGCAGCAGACTCATCTATAATAGGCCCATAAATCAACTAAATGTGAGGTTTATTTAAACTGTGTTTAAATTACTGCTTAAGATGCTTTAAGTTTAGAATATGTCCTAAGAATATTTTAACACTCGGAATGTCAGATTCAACACTGTAGTAGCCAATACTGTGAAAACTGAAAGAAGTATGTGTGGAACAAGACACACAGGGTTTACTCATACTACTTAAACATTAACCAACAGGAAACTTTGTATGCTTTTGTAAATCATGAAGAGGAGAAAGTAAAAAGCTATTTTTACGTGTAAGTATTTGTATACGGACTATTTCCTATTGTATATTTGTACATATAAATCTATATTTTATACATTCATGGCATATATATTCTCTCATCATCAACTTCAACCCTATAAGGACAGAGAGAAAGTCCCCACACCAGTGTTCTTTCTCTTGCTCACTGGTTTCTTGTTCCTGTTGGCAGGAATGCTAGGGTTTCAGCTCTGGTCTATTGTATTTTCTACTGCAAGTGCTTCTTTCTGCTTTTATTTTTAATATAACTAAGCTTTCACTGCTTTCTCTAGTGCTGTAACTGCTTGTGCTGGTTGTCAGACAAAGGCAGGAGCAATGCTTATGATCCCAGACAGTTCTCTCTCTCTCTCTCTCTCTCTCTCTCTGTGTGTATATATCTATAAATTTATTGTGTGACTTGAACCTCCACCTTCCTATTTGGAAAAGGAGAACAGTAACATTTTGCTGTTCTCTGTCTTGACCGACTTTCTTGTAAGGTCTTGAGGCTGATACTCTTGTTTGCAATGTATGTGTATACTGCCTTGCAAAAGAAGGGTCCAAAGCCACTGAAGGCTACAGGCACTACTATTATATAATAGCTTTTTTTTTTTTTTTTAAATGGCTGCTTCTTGTCCCTGGAGTTTAAAAACAATTATAGGCTAATATAGCACGGGATGAAATCAAGGTGTGGGAAGGAGCATGGATGGATGAAGGGCTGTAGTAGCAAGAGACAGTGAGCTAGATTTATTGCTATATCCATATGCATCTTTTCAGTTTAGATGGATGGCTGGATAGATGGAAAGCTAATAAAAGAATTCTAATGCAGGATTTGAAGAATGCCAGACACACAGAGCTAGGGAGATGGTTCCACACATATTGTACAGGGCAGCCCTGGAAAATCTACAGCTCCCTTGTGGGAAGAGCAGCCGAAAGGGAGAACATCAGTTGAGTTGACTTGTATTTAGAAAGTCTTTGGGGTAATAGAAAGCTACTATGAAAGTGTTACATATGAAAGGGAAGTTGGGCTGGACAGACTTATGTGAAGAATGCCTTCATAATGCATGGTTATTTTCCCAGTAAGCATATAATTAGGATTTTGCATGAGCGGTGTTCACATGCTTGGCAGTTTTTAAGTCTTATAAATTTTTTACAATAATTAAGCCTTGTCAAATGATGATAAATCTGTTGTAAAATACGTGTTTCATTCTTAAAATTAAATGTGTATAAATGCAAATCTCTAAAAACGTAATGCTAACTAAACTGAAACATAATTCTAAAAGAGAATTGAGGGAGAACATACAAGTCCCCATAAATCAGATTATATTTTACAAGGCATAAGCCTAAATTTGCAATGATGTAGTCCACATTTTGTTGTAAGATGGTACTGTTTTGTCTTTAACTGATTTTGACTTGGCCGTTCTATCTAGTATTACTATAGAAGAATGTATTTCCTTATTGGCTATATATGTGTATATTCTTTCTAACTAAATACTAAAGGCCTTTCTTACTAAATAATTTAACTGTGCAGTTCCATGTTCCATTCTTCCTGTTCACATACTGATGTACCTTTACATTCCACTGAGTTAAGTGGATGTTTTCGTATTCTAAAGGATCCAAATGTGTGTGTTACGGAAGACCAAATTTCATTTACACAGGCAGTTAATGGTGCTGCTTCATGAACTGGATTTGGTTTGCCAGTCAGATGGGCTGTAGGTCAAATTGGAGCTCCTGTGCAGTGTGCACACCCTAATTTTCCCTGTGTGAAAATTGTTTTATTGGGAGAGCTTGCATACACTTTTGTGTTGCTCCATGGAATTCAATGGAATTGGGAAGCAACTGAGAGCTGGATGAGCATCCAGCCCTACACAGTAGGAAAAACTCATAGATACCGTGTGTTAAAGTAGCCTCTGTCTGCTAAGCACTTTTCCCTAAGAATTCCTTCCACCATCTTGTAATTATTTAAATAAACCAGAAAATATTCTTCTAACAAGAAAAAGAGCAGAAGGCCCTGTAGTTTGTGCAATACATGCACACTGTCCAGGACGCTACCCCAGCAACAGCTAGCTAAGAAAAGTAAAGCTCTTAAAGCAGCTAAATGTACAGCCGGATTGATACCATCGTTAGAGGGCAGTTGTCTCAGAGCAAATATGAAAATTTTGTTGCTTCTTGCCTTGAGAAGGGCTTGGGTCTGCCCATGTGAGCAGAGACATATTTAGAAACACTGCAGCAGACTTCCTTCACACGACAGCTAGAACATTAGTTCCCTGATTTAAATGAGCCTGTCTTAAGCATAAACTAAACACATATTTGCATGATTGTTATTATATGAGTAAGGAACTGTGACCACTGTGTTAGAGATGATTCTATAAAAAATGACTTTTTGGAATCTACTGAAAATCAGCCCCACAGTGCTGAGGAAAGAACTGCAGAGTGAGGCTRTGGGGTAAGAGACCTTGATGAGTGACCTTCTGAGAGCAGTTCAGATATCAGCTGAGTAACATTTATTAATTCTTTAAGAGAAAGCCTACTACAGTTTACCTGAATGTAATCAGATTCTAATTGCTTATTCATTCAAGCAGTCCTATTTTAATCACCTACTCATGTATAAAACAAGCAGGGAGTTTATTTGAGGATTTCAAAATAAGTCTTCATATTGCTCCTAACAGAGGTATACTCACAAATCTTTTTTTTTTTTTTTTTTTTTTTTTTTGCTATGAGTCAGTTAAATACTTGCTAGATGTTTTCTTTATTAGCAAAAAAAAAAAAAATTAAAGTTAATGCATATTATATTACATTTATTTCTGATTCTCTTCCTCTCAGGAAAAAAAAAGCTTTAAAAATAGTAGAAGTTGTTCTAGAAAGAAATCTGACTTTTTGGTTAGTTAATCAATAATTCACAGCTAATTATTGAGTAATTATGAAGGCCTCTAACAGAAAAGAGAAAGGATTCTATGTATCCAGTTCTACGTATCCAGGGAAATTCCCATCCCATCTGGGCTGGGAAGCTCCACTTGCAGTCAGAGCAGGTCAGGTCCATCAATAAATGTGAAGGACTGAGCAAGAGCTCTACTGAGGAACAGGTGCTGTTGCAATGTCTTAAAAAATGCTCCTAAAATGTGTTAGGAAGGTGTGCTCAAGATACTTTTCCAAAATGTTGTTTC